ATATTTTACATTTATAAAGACTAAAATACAAAATAAAACTATATAAATAATTTACCCGTGTGTACGTGGAGAATCACCTAGTTAGTCATATCTATAGAAATAGAATTAGTTCAATAAACCGTTTATGAGAGTTTGGTCAAAAAGTTCATAAAAAAAGAAAAACAATTGTCATAGATTTCTTTTCTTGTTAACGTTTTAATATTTTTTGTTGGTTTTATACTTTATTTAAAAGTTTGTTTTTAAAAAAATGGTTTAGAAGTGCTGTTAGAAAAAAACCACATTTTTTAACTCGTTTTGAACATCGAGAAACTTTGGCACGACACTACCTCCGGCTATGTTTTTGGGGTTGTGTATATAGTTTTGTATATAACTGCCAGCTTTGTATTTCAACCTCGATCCCAACTTGATTTTAATGAAAACCAGATGACAACAAAAAAATAGCATAATTTATATTGAGAGAAAATGATATAGGTTTTATAGAAATATCATGTATTAAATATAGTTGATTTGTGCATCAAAACTATAACCTTAATTTCGAAATATCCATATAATATAAAATGAAAACTCTTAATAAATTAATGAGCATTCATTTTTTTCCATTGGGCATGTAATTGTTTAGTTTATGAAAATTATTGTGTTCAAGAAGTCATATATCATACATACACATGTACACGTAATTTTTTTTTTTTTTGGATAAACCGTGGGAGTTTCGAACCTTTGGCTCATAATCTCTTTGTTATCCGGAGACAGTCTTTAGATATTCCGATTTAAATAATAATTTTCCGTTCCAAAAAAAAATTGAATCCAAGGCACAAAGGAACTAACCCTTTTGTGTTACCACTAGACCACCACCTCTTTGGTAATATATGTAATTGTTTGGATTTCACTCTTTTTATATATGTATCAAAACTGTATAAGTTTTTGGGTTTAAAGGTTGGCTAAATTGCCTATATTTTTGTTGAAAGTCTACATACACGTTTAGGGTTCAAAACTTTATACATGGTTACAAGTCACTTATAACATATTTTTGTGGATTTGAAATCTGAAAAATTCACGTATGCTGCATTTAAATTCTCCGTCTAGAAATATTTGTTAAAATTTTATGCTGTCTATTTCTAAATTGTTAAATACTTTATCCGTTTCAAAATGTAAGTTGTGTTTGGCTGAAAGTGCGAATATTAAAAAACTGTTTTTTTTCTAAAAGTATCATC